GGTACACCAGGACCCCACAGGTACACCAGGACCCCCCACAGGTACACTAGGACCCCCACAGGGACGTCAGGACCCCCACAGGGACACCAGGACCCCCACAGGGACACCAGGACCCCCACAGGTACACCAAACCCTACAGGTACACCAGGACCGCCACAGGTACACCAGGACCCCCACAGGGACATCAGGGCTTCCACAGGGACACCAGGACCCCCACAGGGACACCAGGACTCCCACAGCGACACCAGGGGCCCCCATAGGGACACCAGGGCCCCCACAGGGACACTAGGGTCCCCCACTGGTACACTAGGACCCACAAAAGTACACCAGGATCCCCCACAGGTACACCAGGAACCCCACAGGTACACCAGAACCCCCAAAGGTACACCAGGACCCCCCACAGGTACACCAGGACCCCCACAGGTACACCAGGACCCCCAAAGGTACACCAGGACCCCCCACAGGTACTCCAGGACCCTCACATGTACACCAGGACCCCCACAGGGACACCAGGGCCCCCACAGGTACACCAGGACCCCCACAGGGACACCAGGACCCCCACAGGGACACCAGGACCAAACAGGGACACCAGGACCCCCACAGGGACACCAGGACCCACCACAGGGACACCAGGACCCCCACACGGACACCAGGACCCCCACAGGGACACCAGGACCCCCACAGGGACTCCATGACCACCACAGGGACACCAGGACCCTGCAGGGACACGAGGGCCCCCACAGGTACACCAGGACCCCCACAGGTACAACAGACCCTACAGGTACACCAGGATCCCCACAGGGACACCAGGGCCCCCCACAGGGACACCAGAGCTTCCACAGGGACACCAGGATTCTCACAGGTACATCAGGACCCCCACAGGGACACCAGGACCCCCACAGGTACACCAGGACCCCCACAGGGACACCAGGGCCCCTCACAGGGACACCAGGACCCCCACAGGGACACCAGGACCCCCACAGGGACACCAGGACCCCCACAGGGACACCAGGACCCCCACAGGGACACCAAGACCCCCCACAGGGACACCAGGACCCCAACAGGGACACCAGGACCCCCACAGGGACACCAGGACCCCCCACAGGGACACCAGGACCCCCCACAGGGACACCAGGACCCCCACAGGGACACCAGGAACCCCACAGGGACACCAGGACCCCCACAGGGACACCAAGACCCCCCCACAGGGAAACCAGGACCCCCACAGGGACACCAGGACCCCACAGGGACACCAGGACCCCCCACAGGGACACCAGGACCCCACAGGGACACCAGGACCCCCATAGGGACACCAGGACCCACCACAGGGACACCAGGACCCCCACAGGGACACCAGGACCCCCCACAGGGACACCAGGACCCCCACAGGGACACCAGGACCCCCACAGGTACACCAGGACCCCCACAGGGACACTAGGACCAAACAGGGATACCAGGACCCCCACAGGGACACCAGGGCCCCCACAGGTACACCAGGACCCCCACAGGTACACCAAACCCTACAGGTACACCAGGACCGCCACAGGTACACCAGGACCCCCACAGGGACACCAGAGCTTCCACAGGGACACCAGGACCCCGACAGGGACACCAGGACTCCCACAGCGACACCAGGGGCCCCCACAGGGACACCAGGGCCCCCACAGGGACACTACTGTCCCCCACAGGTACACTAGGACCCCCAAAGGTACACCAGGACCCCCCACAGGTACACCAGGAACCCCACAGGTACACCAGAACCCCCAAAGGTACACCAGGACCCCCCACAGGTACACCAGGACCCCCACAGGTACACCAGGACCCCCAAAGGTACACCAGGACCCCCCACAGGTACACCAGGACCCTCACATGTACACCAGGACCCCCACAGGGACACCAGGGCCCCCACAGATACACCAGGACCCCCAACAGGGACACCAGAGCGGCCACAGGTACACCAGGACCCCCACAGGGACACCAGGACCAAACAGGGACACCAGGACCCCCACAGGGACACCAGGACCCCCACAGGGACACCAGGACCCACCACAGGGACACCAGGACCCCCACACGGACACCAGGACCCCCACACGGACACCAGGACCCCCACAGGGACACCAGGACCCCCAAAGGTACTTCAGGGCCTCCACAGGTACACCAGGACCCCCACAGGGACACCAGTACCCCCACAGGAACACTAGGACCCCCACAGGGACACCAGGACACCCCACAGGTACACCAGGACCCCCACAGGGACACCAGGACCCCCCCACAGGGACACCAGGGTCCCCACAGGAACACCAGGATCCCCACAGGTACACCAGGGCCCCCTACAGGTACACCAGGACCCCCACAGGTACACCAGAACCCCCACAGGTACACCAGATCCCCCACAGGGATACCAGGACCCCCACAGGTACACCAGGGTCCCCACAGGTACACCAGGACCCCCACAGGGATACCAGGACCCCCACAGGTACACCAGGTCCCCCACAGGTACACCAGAACCCCCAAAGGTACACCAGGGTCCCCACAGGTACACCAGGACCCCCACAGGTACACCAGGTCCCCCACAGGGATACCAGGACCCCCACAGGTACACCAGGGTCCCCACAGGTACACCAGGACCCCACAGGTACACCAGGACCCCCCACAGGTACACCAGGTCCCCCACAGGTACACTAGGACCCCCACAGGGATGCCAGGACCCCCACAGGGACACCAGGACCCCCCACATGGACACCAGGACCCTCGCAGGTACACCAGGACCCCCACAGAGATACCAGGACCCCCACAGGTACACCAGGACCCCCACAGGGACATCAGGGCGTCCACAGGGACACCAGGACCCCCACAGGGACATCAGGGCCCCCACAGGGACACCAGGAACCCCACAGGGACACCAGGGTCCCCACAGGGACATTAGGATCCCCACAGGTACACTAGGGTCCCGCACAGGTACACCAGGACCCCCACAGGTGCACCAGGACCCCCACAGGTACACCAGAACCCCCACAGGTACACCAGGACCCACACAGGTACACCAGGACCCCAACAGGGACACCAGGACCCCCACAGGTACACCAGGACCCCCACAGGTACACCAGGACCCCCACAGGGACACCAGGGCCCCCTACAGGTACACCAGGGGCCCCCCACAGGGACACCAGGACCCCCACAGGCACACCAGGGCTCCCACAGATACACCAGAACCCCCACAGGTTCACCAGAACCCCCACAGGTACACCAGGACCTTCACAGGGACACTAGGGGCCCCACAGGTACACCAGGACCCCCATATGGACACCAGGACCCCCACAGGGACACCTGGACACCCCACAGGGACACCAGGACCCCCCACAGGTACACCAGGGCCCCCACAGGGATGCTATGGCCTCCACAGGAAGACCAGGACCCCCACAGGGAGACCATGGCCCCCACAGGGACACCAGGACCCCACAGGGATGCTATGGCCCCCACTGGGACACCAGGACCCCCACAGTGATGCCAGGGCACCCACAGGTACACCAGGGCCCCCACAGGGACACCAGGACCCCCACAGGGACTCCAGGGCCCCCCGCAGGGACCCCAGAAGGCCCCCCACAGGGACACCAGGATCCCCCACAGGGACACAAACTGCCACCAGGTGTCCCTGTGGGGGGTTTGGGTGTCATCTGATAACTCAATGTTGGCATTATTTTCCTGATTTTATTTGTATTGTTGATCTTCAGTGTGTTTAAGGGTTCACTGAAAACAGTCGCGCTGCGTCCTCAGTACTTCACTCATTTCTTTGTTGTAGTCTGTCAGAAGTTCCATCTTCCTTGTGCAAGGGCCCAATTCTAGATGTCATTTTTGTTCTTGATTTTGCATAGCAGTATTTTGGGTTCTTTTTCAATTTTACTGATGGCCATTTGCTCTTTTTTGTCTCTACTGTAATGTTTGCACACAAGTAACATTGTATGCAAACATGTCTCATGCAAGAGGTCCATTAGCTAATTGCATTAGCTATTGAAAATCTATAATTATTTATAAGACTTTATTTATAATTGTAAATGCTCAAAAAAAAATCAGCCAAACATGACAAAACAAAAATTTTATTTACAAAATAAAGTAGAAAAAATATATAACATGTCAGTGAGAAAAACTCTAGTAGAGACAGAGCACATTATGAAGACTTTATCGACTGACACCGTGGCACAGGGAGGCTCTATGTATTGCAACTGCATATAAATTATTGGCATGTTAATAACTCAAACATGCAGGTATTGACTTGGAAATAGGTCTTGCATGTCTACATGATATAAAATGAATACAAAAAATGATTATTTACAAAATACAAGGTACTTTTGGTATGCTGTGCAAAACAATTGCTGAAGACCTGTAGACAGCAGTTAGAAAACAAGACAACCAAATGACACCATGTGTGTGTGTGTAAAAAAATACATGTGTGTAATTAACACCAACCCACACACGCACTCGACCAAGAAAGTGATGCCATTAGTACCTGCTTGATGGGGTTCTGGGAGTAGTTCTACTCCCCATGCCCAGCCTGAGGCTAGGATTGAAGCCCAGCGTGAGACCAGGCTTGAAGCCCAGCTTGAGGCTAGGCTTGAAGCCCAGCCTGAGGCCAGGCTTGAAGCCCAGCCTGAGGCCAGGCTTGAAGCCCAGCTTGAGGCTAGGCTTGAAGCCCAGCTTGAGGCCAGGCTTGAAGCCCAGCTTGAGGCCAGGCTTGAAGCCCAGCCTGAGGCCAGGCTTGAAGCCCAGCCTGAGGCCAGGCTTGAAGCCTAGCCTGAGGCCAGGCTTGAAGCCCAGCCTGAGGCCAGGCTTGAAGCCCAGCCTGAGGCCAGGCTTGAAGCCCAGCCTGAGGCCAGGCTTGAAGCCAAGCCTGAGGCCAGGCTTGAAGCCCAGCCTGAGGCCAGGCTTGAAGCCCAGCCTGAGGCCAGGCTTGAAGCCCAGCCTGAGGCTAGGCTTGAAGCCCGGTCTACGGTCTGAACTGTGTCGAGTTGTCAAGGAAGAGAGAATATGAATCCATTTCAGACCAAAATGTCATCACTTTCCATCTTTTCGTATGTGGGCCTTGGGTATTAATTTTCAGCCACTTTATTGTGGCTTATTCTATGCGTACATTTGTATATTCTCAAGCTGTTCCAATAACAATATAAATTAGCTATAGGAATTGCTCCTTTACAATATTTACTTAATTCCTCTTGACTATTATGCTGTTGACATTTTATTTACAATGATTATTTCACAAAATTGTAACAAATTTTTTGGCAAATATCGTGTGCTAGTAGACTAAAAGGACAGATTTTTCTGGGAAGAGAACTATCAGGGGAAAGTGCCACGTCATTACGACTACACAGCACTTGGAAGAGGTCAGGATAAGGATCTGGGATGGGACGGGAAGGAATGGTGCCCAACCACTTGGATGGTTGGGGAATTGAATGAAGGCCTGCATGACGCGAGACCGTTGCTCTACCGTCCAGCCCAAGTGGTTGGGAAGAGGAAAGTGAAGACCTTGCACATCACTTCTGCTCAGACTGCCAGATACAAAGTATTAAAAGTGTTCACTTAACACATTCAAATATGGATAAATACGTATTGAGGTGTACGACAGACTCAAACCCATGCACAGCCTTAATATTTATTCATAGATTCATCGTGTTATTGTGACTTTCACTGTGTATTAAAGTATGCATGTGTGGAGAGTTGGTGAAGTCTAAACTAGCAGTGTAGCATCATTATTTACTACAGTCCGACAACACAGCAATTCACGTAATGAATTGTGATGTCTCAAAATTCTATACAACTTTTCCACAAGAACTGTCCAAAAATGTTTACTACATCACACTACATGATGCTACATGGAAGACTGAAATATTAGACTTCAAGATGTGAAATGTAAAATATAACTTTTAGGTCAAAAGCATGACCTAGTGGCATCGTGAGCAGGTAGATGACGACTTGGCTTGGAGAAGAAAATGGTCACATCGGGTGTTCACGTCAGGGTTGTGTGGTAATAAACGTTATTTGGCATCACTACTCTACATACAAAAGCTGATTTTAACAAATCAAGCATTGGTGGGTCTTGCCATGACATATTGGTGCTTAAAATATATTTAACACAGTATATTGCAAAGCTATTTACAAGATACAATTTATATAACGGCTATAATCTTTGTACATATGAACTATCAATAAATACAGAATAATCCTAACGACTTGGTCAGCATGCCCTCTCAGCCAGGCTGTGGGTTCCTCTCACTAAACCTGTAAGTATAAAAACAAATTATAAATATTTATATTGTTTAATTTATTAAAAAGCACTATAAGCATGTAAGAAGGAGGAGTCATACAAAATTTAAATAATTTTTAGTACTCGAAATAAGGAATTAACAGGGTTGCAAAGTGACAAATACAAATGTTCATATAAGTAGCCAAGTCAACATTCTTTGGTTCTATCAATCTATCTAGAGACCCACTGCTTGATACCTGCTTGATGGGGTTCGAGGAGTTCTTCTACTCCCCAAGCCCGGCCCGAGGCCAGGCTTGACTTGTGAGAGTTTGGTCCACCAGGCTGTTGCTTGGAGTGGCCCGCAGGCCCACATATACCTGGTTGATGGGGTTCTGGGAGTTCTTCTACTGCCCAAGCCCGGCCCGAGGCCAGGCTTGACTTGTGAGAGTTTGGTCCACCAGGCTGTTGCTTGGAGTGGCCCGCAGGCCCACATATACCTGCTTGATGGGGTTCTGGGAGTTCTTCTACTGCCCAAGCCCGGCCCGAGGCCAAGCTTGACTTGTGAGAGTTTGGTCCACCAGGCTGTTGCTTGGAGCGGCCCGCAGGCCCACATATACCTGCTTGATGGGGTTCTGGGAGTTCTTCTACTGCCCAAGCCCAGTCCGAGGCCAGGCTTGACTTGTGAGAGCTTGGTCCACCAGGCTGTTGCGTAAAGCGGCCCGCAGGCCCACATACCCAGCACAGCCTGGTTGGTCCAGCACTCCTTGAAGAAAACAATCTAGTTTCCTCTTGAAGATGTCCATGATTGTTCCGGCAATATTTCTGATGCTCGCTGGGAGGACGTTGAACAACTGCTGACCTCTGATGTTTATACAGTGTTCTCTGATTGTGTCTATGGCACAAGCATGCATGTGACACTCTTACATGTGACATCCAGCAGCCACACCATCCTCATTATTATGGACAGAAAGCCTGTACTTGAGCTCAGTGTTTCCTAGGCCAACTACTGACCTTCCCAAAGATGTAACCCACAATAGTTGTCTAACACCTGGGAGCCTGTTTTGACAGAACAGAGGCATCAGGCAAAAGGTAATGTGCTCAATCATTTCTATCCTGCCCAGGGATTAAAATACATAACCTTCAGTTTTCAGCTGAGGACATAGACCACTCTGCTATGGTGTGTTAATATGAATCTGTCGATGACATAAATGGCAGCTTCTTTACTCACTTGTGCTTGCGGGGGTTGAGCTCTGGCTCTTTGGTCCTGCCTCTCAACTGTCAATCAACTGGTGTACAGATTCCTGAGCCTACTGGGCTCTATCATATCTACATTTGAAACTGTGTATGGAGTCAGCCTCCACCACATCACTGCCTAATGCATTCCACCTGTTAACTACTCTGACGCTGAAAAAGTTCTTTCTAACTTCCCTGTGGCTCATTTGGGTAGTCAGTTTCCACCTGTGTCCCCTTGTTTACATACAGTACCACCTGTGTTAGTGGTACGTATGAGTGTGTACGAGTCAACTTCCCTTTATACAGGGTTAGAATTTGATTCAAAAGGCTGGTGGACCATTCCTTCCCTCCCTCCATCTTAATATTCCAGCTCCTATCTCATCCTCATATCCCTCCCATGTGCTACTACATATACTAAAACTGCCTTAGCACTTTCTTATTATTATTTATACTTTTGCAGAGTTTACTACAACAGCCTAAATTTTGTATTTCTTTCCAATCTTATATTTCACTGTTACAAGTCAGGAATGGTAAAAGTATAACATGAAAAGTAATTAGCAGAAACCAAATGTAAAGAACAAAGACAGTAAGAATAGTGGAATTATATTAGAGTATGCAAGTTGCAGATCCACAAATGTGATATACAAAGATACATCTATGAAGACTTCTCGGCTTAAATGTAATTACCTAAGTGTAATTACCTAAGTGTAGTTACAGGATGAGAGCTACGCTCGTGGTGTCCCGTCTTCCCAGCACTCTTTGTCATATAACGCTTTGAAACTACTGACGGTCTTGGCCTCCACCACCTTCTCACTTAACTTGTTCCAACCGTCTACCACTCTATTTGCGAAGGTGAATTTTCTTATATTTCTTCGGCATCTGTGTTTAGCTAGTTTAAATCTATGACCTCTTGTTCTTGAAGTTCCAGGTCTCAGGAAGTCTTCCCTGTCGATTTTGTCAATTCCTGTTACTATTTTGTATGTAGTGATCATATCACCTCTTTTTCTTCTGTCTTCTAGTTTTGGCATATTTAATGCTTCTAACCTCTCCTCGTAGCTCTTGCCCTTCAGTTCTGGGAGCCACTTAGTAGCATGTCTTTGCACCTTTTCCAGTTTGTTGATGTGCTTCTTAAGATATGGGCACCACACAACAGCTGCATATTCTAGCTTTGGCCTAACAAAAGTCATGAACAATTTCTTTAGTATATCGCCATCCATGTATTTAAATGCAATTCTGAAGTTAGAAAGCATAGCATAGGCTCCTTGCACAATATTCTTTATGAGGTCCTCAGGTGATAGTTTTCTATCTAGAACCACTCCTAGATCTCTTTCTTTATCAGAATTCTTTAAAGATTTCTCACATAATATATAGGTTGTGTGGGGTCTATGTTCTCCTATTCCACATTCCATAACATGACATTTATTAACATTAAATTCCATTTGCCAAGTGGTGCTCCATATACTTATTTTGTCCAGGTCTTTTTGAAGGGCATGACAGTCATCTAAATTTCTTATCCTTCCTATTATCTTAGCATCATCAGCAAACATGTTCATATAATTCTGTATACCAACTGGTAGATCATTTATGTACACAATAAACATCACTGGTGCAAGAACTGAACCCTGTGGTACTCCACTTGTGACATTTCTCCATTCTGATACATTGCCTCTGATTACTGCCCTCATTTTTCTATCAGTCAGAAAATTTTTCATCCATGATAGAAGCTTACCTGTCACCCCTCCAATATTTTCCAGTTTCCAGAACAACCTCTTATGTGGAACTCTGTCGAAAGCCTTTTTTAGGTCCAGATAGATGCAGTCAGCCCAACCATCTCTTTCCTGTAATATCTCTGTGGCTCGATCATAGAAACTGAGTAAATTCGATACACAGGATCTTCCAGATCGAAAACCATACTGTCTGTCTGATATTATATCATTTCTCTCTAGGTGTTCTACCCATTTAGTTTTGATTAGTTTTCCAATACTTTCACTATTACACTTGTCAATGATACAGGTCTATAATTGAGGGGGTCTTCCCTGCTGCCACTTTTGTAGATTGGAACTATGTTAGCCTGTTTCCACCCGTCTGCTACGATTCCTGTACACAGGGATGCCTGAAAGATCAGGTGAAGTGGAATGCTGAGCTCAGATGCACATTCTCTCAGAACCCATGGTGAAACGCCATCTGGGCCAGCTGCTTTGTTCTTACCGAGCTCCTTGAGCATTTTTTCCACTTCGTCTCTAGACACCTCTGTGTTCTATGTTGTTCTCTGGAATTCTTATTGTATCTGGTTCCCTAAAGATTTCATTTTGTACAAACACACTTTGGAACTTTTCGTTTAGTGTTTCACACATTTCCTTTTCATCTTCCGTGAATCTATTTCCCATTTTCAACCTCTGAATATTATCCTTTACCTGCAATTTGTTGTTTATGAATTTATAGAATAGACCTGGTTCTGTTTTACATTTGTCCGCAATCTCTTTTTCAAAATTTCTTTCTGCCTCTCTCCTCACTGCCGTGTAGTTGTTTCTCGCATCTTTGTATCGCTGGTATGTTTGGGGGTTCGGCCTCTTCCTGTATTGATTCCATTTTTGTGTCTTTCGGTCTCTAGCCCTCTCGCAATTTCTATTGAACCAATCCTGTTTCCTAGTTCTGCATCTCTGTTTTGGTATAAATTTTTTTGTGCCTTTATCATATATTTCACAAAACTTGCCATACATCTCATTCACTTCCTTGCCTAGCATCAAGTCTGTCCAATTATACTCACTAAAAAAATTTCTAAGGTCACCATAATGTCCTCTCCTGAAGTCTGGTTTTTCAACTGCTTCAACCTCCTTATTTTCTTCCAGCTTATAACGCATTGCATACTTTATTCCCAAAAAGACATGGTCACTTTTACCCAAGGGAGGAAGGTACTGAATGTCAAATATCTCTTCCTCCTTCCTGGTAAATATCAAATCTAGCATGGAGGGAACGTCCCCTTCCCTCATCCTCGTAGCTTGTTTAACATGTTGATACAAGAATGTTTCCAGGATGAGGTCTAGAAATTTACAGGTCCAAAAATCTTCTGTTTTAGCTTCATATGCTTCCCAGTCTATGGATTTCAAGTTGAAGTCACCGACTATCAACAGTCGTGATCTATCGTTATCCGCTCTCGCTATAATCTCTCTCATTATTGTTATAAGACCTTCACGTTTACTATCTAGCTCCTCCTTTGACCATGTGCTGCTTGGCGGTGGACTATATGCATTTATCATCATTAGTTTATCATCCTCATAGCAGATCTCTAGTGCTATTATGTCAACTTCTTGTGGATTGGCAATCATTATTTCCTTCACCTTTAGGTGTTCTTTTACCAGCACAGCAACGCCACCGCCTTTCCTAATTTTTCTGTCCCGTCTCCAAATTGAGTAGCCCCTTGGGAATATGACCTCATTTAAAATTACATCTTCAAGTTTTGTCTCCGTGAGTGCAACAATGTCTGGTGTCTGCAGCTGTATTACATCACTTAACTCCAGTATCTTCGATCTCACTCCATCTATGTTGGTGTATGCAATCTTCAGGAACTTGTTCCCCCTCTCCTTATTCTTCACTCCCCCTCTCTCTATTGATTTTGTTGGTTTGCCTTTATGTACCACTTTACTGGTTTGCCTACCCCTATCACTTTGTAGAAAAAAGAATTTATTTCTTCTTCATTCCTGCTCTCATTTAAATGTTTTGCCTCGGCGAGGTTCAGTTTCAGCTTCTCTCTATCTTCTTTTGAAAGATCTCGTCTTAACGACCACCCTTTCCCATCCTCATCCCTTTGCAATTTTCTAGCATTCCTTAGTACTTCTTCCATCTGTTTGGCACCGTTTAGGGTGATCCTCAAAGGTCGATCTTTCCCTTTTACGTACCTGCCTATTCTCCTGTAGTCGCACACATTCTCTCTGTTTGTAAGACCTTCCACGAGGCCAACAATTTTATCTACTACTTTAGCTTCTTCTGCAGCTCTTTCTGACCTAGATGTTATCGCCTTTTCTTTGCAGCCAAAAATGATCAGGGACTTACTCCGATCAACTGTGTTTTGCACCAACTTCGGGTTAGATGCCAATTCTTTCCTCACTTCTAGCCTAATGTTTGTTTTATCTTGGTTGCTGCAGTGTTTGACTTCCTTTACTGCTTCTTCTATTTTTTCCTTCTCCTTGGCCACTTGTGCATAAGTGAGTTGCATATCTTTCTTGCACTGTTCTATTCCCTGTGTAACTTCCTCCATCTGTGCTGACAAAAGCTGTTTCTCCTGTTGAATTTCCTTGCCTAACCTATTGTAGTCATTTATGTTTAAATTTACTTTAACTTCTTCCAAAGCTATTTTTAAGAGTTTATTTTCTTCTTCCATGGCTTTGCAATTTGTTTCCAATTGATTCTTATCCTTGCGCAAGTCTTTCACTAAACCCTCAAGACATAAAACTTTGCTATTCAAATGGTCATTACTTTCTTTCAATTTACTAATTATTTCTACATGAGAGTTCACTATAGTATCTAAATTTACCAACTTGTTATGTAGACTACTAATATCAATGCTTTCTTCATTGAATCCCTCAAAATCAAGCTCTGTTTTGTTTTTCCCCTTGCCAGTGGCCATCTTGAATGTTCTTCTCTGCACTGTAAACACTAGGGCAACTTTTTCTCATCTGATTTTTCACTTCCCTTAGCACTTTCCTGTTATCTCACCTATTTTTCAAGAGCACTATACCTTTATGTTCTCTGGGACACCACTCACTACCATCAACCTGTACTACAATACTTAGGATTGTTGAAATATGCTGGAGCTCCTCTGCTGCAAGTGTTGACCCTAGGGGTGTCACCTTTTGAATTCCTAATGAATATCATATTAATGAATCATATCAATGAACCTAATGAATAGCATATTGTGTTTCTTACATAGAACTCACGTGTTTGGTCCCCACCTCCAAGTGTATATACTCTGTATTATATTTACATGCACAAAAACCTTTGTTCCCCTTCAAAACCACTTTAAAATCACATTTAATAAATGTACTGTAAGTTGAATCGTACAATAACTGGTCTTTCTTTCATCCACAAAATATCCACGTGTCTTATACACAGGCAAATATGAGACTTCATGAAATCATCCTGATCAAATTATCCACGGTAACTAAATAAAGCATTGTTTAAAGTTTTCTGTATTGATATATATATATATAAAATGATCTCTTGCAGTTACATCACACAGTGTTTGACATATTAATTTAAGATTTAAAGTTAAAACAAAATACAATAAATTGCAAAGAAATGGTCAGATATGACACCTTTTTAAAAAAAGGAACAATAAATAAAATGTTAGTAAAAATGTCATGCTGAGAGATGTTAGAGAATGCAAATTTATTTAGAGGAAAAGTCTTAATAAAGTTAAACGTCTTCTTTTTATCCTGCACAGTTATGCATTTTATTAGTGAGCATAACTTATCTGGCAAAAAGTTCTCTTCAAGCACTCACATTGGCTCAAGTGATGTTTAATATTATGCCTAAGTTATGCAGGCGATGAGTCACAATAACGTGGCTAAAGTATGTTGACCAGACCACACACTAGAAGGTGAAGGGACGACGACGTTTCGGTCCATCCTGGACCATTCTCGATCGATTTGAGAATGGTCCAGGACGGACCAAAACGTCGTAGTCCCTTCCCTTCTACTGTGTGGTCTGGTCAACATGCCTAAGTTATGTTTCAGTATTGTGAGACATAAGGTTTCTAGGTATCCATTTAGAAAGTTATGGAGCATTTTCAAATCCCAAAATTGTATAGATTGATCACAAAAGAAAAACAGCAGTATACAAAGTAACAGTAATGTGAAAGGATAAAAGGCCCAGCATTGAATATAACGAAATGCCACTTTTTCTGCTGGTCCCTCGGTGGCTCCTCAAGCTACCGAGGGACCTTCCCAGAAAACGGGAAATACCTTAGCTGGAAAGGAAAATTAGTATTTTATTTTTGGGACACAAACAAATTTAGGAGAGAAAGAAGTGTTACAAGAAGACTGATATACACTATAGTAAAGCAAATGGGTCCTGTAGCAAAGGCATCGGGTGAAAGGAAACACACCAAGCCAATTGTCCTGCCCGGAGATTGAACCTGGGTCTCGCAGTTGTCAACTGAGGATGTAGAATCAAGATATCCTGAAACTGGTCAGTGATGGATAGGGTTGAAGAGGTTGTGCAGGTCAGAAAATCCAATCAGAAAATACCTCGTAAGTAAACATGACTTTAGTGTAAGCAGTTTGTTAGGACAGAGTAAATGCTCGACATTTTTGTCCATGGCAACTTACGACAGCATATTTTACACCTAGTCTAGGATGCGTTGGAGATACTGCTGTGGATGGGTTGTTGTGGTGGTGCTGACTCTCCACGATGCTGTCGAGTGTGGAAAGTATTGCAAGTGAATGAGTGTCACTTAATATATCTTTAATATATTTAACTCTCTTTTACCCATATTATATAGATATCTTCTCAAGGCAAATGCCTCCCCATCCCATGAAAAGGGGAACAGGGTAATAATGATGATGATGAATATAAAAAGAACACAAATGTTAACCATCAGTGCAGTTTATAGCAGCACCTACAAGCCCATGGTATGAAAATATGCCCCTAGCTTGTGGACTGGGCAAGTAACAATAAGCAAGAGTTGCACTCAATAGAAAACCATCATAATGGTATTTTACAAGGTGCAAGTTCTTGGTCCACTGCAATGTTGATGATCAGCAGTTTAATAACCACACATCTAAAACTTCACTGATGATACACAACTAGGACATACATACCTATCACAAGAACCAGGACAAGGTATCCATTTTTCTATAAAAAAGTTTTATAGCAAAGATGTAAAAATGAAAACAACAACAATGTAAGGCAGGGCCTTTTAAATGGCTTTTCAGATGCCTTTTCTGGTGAAACACTATTTGAAACTCCCACCAAGGCAGCAACTAGCCTGTACATGTGCGGAAGCCATATTTGTCCTGTGAGAGCTGTTCCCCTCTCAATGAATGTAAACACATACTCCAGTTCTTATATAAGCACTCCCAAGTACATTGATCAAACAAAAACGTACTAAAATACAGTATAAGTGTTTATGTACAAATGTGGTTCAAAACATCAGAATGTGTTGGTGGGAAGACCGAATGTAAAGTGCAAGTCTGCCTTGTGGGAATAGTCGTTGATGAGTGTCGGTTGCGGAAAGATGTACAATACTGTATCTTCTTTTGAGATGATTTCGGGGTTTAGCGTCCCCGCGGCCCGGTCCTCAACCAGGCCTCCGTTTTGTTACACATCCCCAGGAAGCAGCCCGTAGCAGCTGTCTAATTATCAGGTAACGATTTACTACTAGGTAATGGGAGCATCAGGGTGAAAGAAACTCTGCCCATTTCTTTCCACTTCCACTGGGGATCAAACCCAGAACCTCAGGACTATGAATCTGAAGTGCTATCCACTCAGCTACCAGGCCCCATGTGGATTTTGTGAATTTTGTTACCATCTTTCTGAACTTTGTAAATGCCCTCCATTCACTAGAGGACTGAGCCTATACTCTTCAATTTACACAAGTATTCTGTGCAACATTGTGAAGTATATTTTGTTAGAATAGTGTATGATTTTTGGTCTATTTATTGATTCTTTTGTGAATGTCCTGGCCCAGCTGGCATCTGGTAATGTTTGATTCTAGACCCTTGTGTGTGTAATTACATAAGTGTAATTACCCAAGTGTAGTTACAGGATGAGAGCTACGATCGTGGTGATGCGTCTTCCCTCTTTGTCATATAACGCTTTGAAACTATTGACGGTTTTGGCCTCCACCACCTGTTCACCTAACTTGTTCCAACCGTCTACCACTCTGTTTACGAAAGTGAATTTTCTTATATTTCTCCGGCAGCTTTGTGTCGTTAACCAGAGTGTGTGTGTGTGTGTGTGTAATTACCTAAGTGTAGTTACAGGATGAGAGCTACGCTCGTGGTGTCCCGTCTTCCCAGCACTCTTTGTCATATAACGCTTTGAAACTACTGACGGTCTTGGCCTCCACCACCTTCTCACTTAACTTGTTCCAACCGTCTACCACTCTATTTGCGAAGGTGAATTTTCTTATATTTCTTCGGCATCTGTGTTTAGCTAGTTTAAATCTATGACCTCTTGTTCTTGAAATTCCAGGTCTCAGGAAGTCTTCCCTGTCGATTTTATCAATTCCTGTAACTATTTTGTATGTAGTGATCATATCACCTCTTTTTCTTCTGTCTTCTAGTTTTGGCATATTTAATGCTTCTAACCTCTCCTCGTAGCTCTTGCCCTTCAGTTCTGGGAGCCACTTAGTAGCATGTCTTTGCACCTTTTCCAGTTTGTTGATGTGCTTCTTAAGATATGGGCACCACACAACAGCTGCATATTCTAGCTTTGGCCTAACAAAAGTCATGAAATTACCTAAGTGTAATTACCTAAGTGTAGTTACAGGATGAGAGCTACGCTCGTGGTGTCCCGTCTTCCCAGCACTCTTTGTCATATAACGCTTTGAAACTACTGACGGTCTTGGCCTCCACCACCTTCTCACTTAACTTGTTCCAACCGTCTACCACTCTATTTGCGAAGGTGAATTTTCTTATATTTCTTCGGCATCTGTGTTTAGCTAGTTTAAATCTATGACCTCTTGTTCTTGAAGTTCCAGGTCTCAGGAAGTCTTCCCTGTCGATTTTATCAATTCCTGTTACTATTTTGTATGTAGTGATCATATCACCTCTTTTTCTTCTGTCTTCTAGTTTTGGCATATTTAATGCTTCTAACCTCTCCTCATAGCTCTTGCCCTTCAGTTCTGGGAGCCACTTAGTAGCATGTCTTTGCACCTTTTCCAGTTTGTTGATGTGCTTCTTAACACTTTCGCTCACCCCGCGCGCCACCCCTCGACAGGGCGATATGGGCCCCAGCGTGTCACGGAAGCGCGCGTTAATTCCGAAAAGTGTATACTCTCTTCAACTTTGTCACCTCAATTCTCCTTCTACGAGAATAAATTTGGTATCATTGTGTTCGCAATAAAATTCTCTACAGCACTAAATGCATATAAACTCCAAAAGCCCGGCTAATTACCCGCAGCAAACAGAGAAAGTGCGAACGAGTTACCCGGGAGCGCGCAAACGGGATAAAATGTTTTCACTATTTTCACTCTGGTCACCTCAATTTTTGTCCTAGGTCTTTCATTTTGGTCTCAATGGGTTCGTAATAAAATCCTCTAGAGGAACATTAGCATATAAAAAAAAACACCTGGTCACGCTCCAACCGCCGACGAGTTGAAGACGGGCCACGCGTTAGCCGTGAGTGAGCGCTCAGAGGCCTTCCTACTACACTCCCAATTCCCACCCTTTTCAAGCCTTTCTTTCGCAATTTTCTTCCTGGAAGGGCCTTGTTCATGATTACTATCCATCGTGGAGTAAGCGTAGATAGTTTCTAAAGCCGCAGTAAGAAATATAGCCACGGAAAATAGCTGAAATGTTCACACGTTTGAGATGCGAGGGGAGACGACATTGGTCACAACAGTGGAGCAAAGACAATGGGCCCACGGCGTGTGCCAAGCCGCCTGAGGGCCACGAGGCTCAACAAAGGAAATGGGAAGACATCGGCGCACATTTTAAAACCAGTCCCCAAAAAATCGGATACAAACCTGATTTTTGGCGAATTTTTAAAGTGGATGACGCAATGCTGCGTCATCCCCGGCATTACCGCCAGTAAACGGATGACGCAATGCTGCGTCATCCCCGAGCGAAAGTGTTAAGATATGGGCACCACACAACAGCTGCATATTCTAGCTTTGGCCTAACAAAAGTCATGAACAATTTCTTTAGTATATCGCCATCCATGTATTTAAATGCAATTCTGAAGTTAGAAAGCATTGCATAGGCTCCTTGCACAATATTCTTTATGTGGTCCTCAGGTGATAGTTTTCTATCTAGAACCACTCCTAGATCTCTTTCTTTATCAGAATTCTTTAAAGATTTCTCACATAATATATAGGTTGTGTGGGGTCTATGTTCTCCTATTCCACATTCCATAACATGACATTTATTAACATTAAATTCCATTTGCCAAGTGGTGCTCCATATACTTATTTTGTCCAGGTCTTCTTGAAGGGCATGACAATCATCTAAATTTCTTATCCTTCCTATTATCTTAGCATCATCAGCAAACATGTTCATATAATTCTGTATACCAACTGGTAGATCATTTATGTACACAATAAACATCACTGGTGCAAGAACTGAACCCTGTGGTACTCCACTTGTGACATTTCTCCATTCCGATACATTGCCTCTGATTACTGCCCTCATTTTTCTATCAGTCAGAAAATTTTTCATCCATGATAGAAGCTTACCTGTCACCCCTCCAATATTTTCCAGTTTCCAGAACAACCTCTTATGTGGAACTCTGTCGAAAGCCTTTTTTAGGTCCAGATAGATGCAGTCAACCCAACCATCTCTTTCCTGTAATATCTCTGTGGCTCGATCATAGAAACTGAGTAAATTCGATACACAGGATCTTCCAGATCGAAAACCATACTGTCTGTCTGATATTATATCATTTCTCTCCAGATGTTCTATCCATTTAGTTTTTATTATTTTTTCCGATATTTTGACTATTACAATTGTCAATGATACAGGTCTATAATTGAGGGGTCTTCACTGCTGGCACTTTTGTAGATTGGAACTATATTAGCCCCTTTTCCACACAACTGCTACGACTCCTGTACACAGAGATATCTGAAAAATCAGTTGAAGTGGAATGCTGAGCTCAGGTACACATTCTCTCAGAACCCATGGTGAAACTCCATCTGGGCCAACTGCTTTGCTCTTACTTAGCTCCAGGAGCATTTGTTTAACTTCGTCTCTTGACACCTCTATGTGCTCTATGTTGTTCTCTGGAATTCTTATTGTGTCTGGTTCTCTGAAGAACTCATTTTGTACAAACACACTTTGGAACTTTTCATTTAATGTTTCACACATTTCATTTTCCGTGTATCTACCCTCCATTTTCAACCTCTGAATATTATCCTTTACCTGCAGCTTGCTTTTAATGAATTTATAGAAAAGGCCTGGATTCAAAGTTTCTCCCTGCATCTCTCCATACTGACGTGTAGTTGTTTCTTGCATCTTTGTATCGCTGGTATGTTTGGGGGTTTGGCCTCTTTCTATAATGATTCCATGCTGGTGTCTTTTGATCTCTGGCCCTCTCGCAATTTCTATTGAACCAACCCTGTTTCCTAGGTCTGCATATCTGTTTTGGTATAAATGTTTGTGTGCCTTCATCGTATATTTTGCAAAATTTGGCATATTTTTTTAAAAATCCTTGCCCAGCACAAGTCTGTCCAATTATACCCGTGAAAAAAATTT